TCTGACAACAAAAATTATTGACAAAAAATTGCATGTGTGAGGTCTATTAAGCAGTATCATACGTGTTATGTCATTTGAGCAATTGGTCATCGACTAATTCAACATTTTTTTTTGTTAGGGGCTAGGATTAGGGTAAAACAGAACCGGTTGCCTAGACAATTCCCAATTAAAAAATAAATAAAAAGAAAACGATGATTCGACCATCTAGTTCTAACAGACGACCCATTTTGGCAACAAAAGTTATAAGCAAAAAGTTGAGTGTATGAGGTCTATTAAGCAATATCATACGTGTTATGTCATTCAAGCATTTGACTCATATGACCCGAAAATGAAACCATTTTGGCCACCAGTTTTTGGGATGATGGTTCGAACATCCAATTCAAATGGACGGCCTATTTTGACAACAAAAAATTAAAAACTAAAAAAAGGCCAAAAACCATTGAGCGGGTCAAGGGTCAATGGTTTGACCACCCGGGTCAATGGGCCATTGACCGATTCAATGGTTTTTGGCCAGGGACCAGTATTGGAATAAAACAAAACCAGCTACCTGGACAATTCCCAATTAAAAATAAAAAATGGCAAAAAACCATTGAACAGGTCAACGGGTTGACGGTTCGACCACCCGAGTCAATGGGTCGTTGACCGATTCAATGGTTTTTGGCTAGGGACTGGGATTGGAGTAAAATGAAACTGATTGCTTGGATGGTTCCCAGGCTGAAATATCTATCCGTCCGGGTCAATGGCGGTTCAGTAACCATGGTTTTTTATGCTTTTGGATTTTCACTATTCAAAGGTTTCTTCTACTGTGGGTTTTATTCGAGCGTGTGTGGTATGTTCCATTTTATTTCTTCCCTTTTATTTTTTCTTTAGGTTTTCTTGTGCAATGCTTTATTTTTTATTTTATTTTTCTTAAAACACGATCTACTTTGTCCCTTTCTTTGATTGCATGTATGTTTAACTCAGTCTCAAAGTGGAACTTTGGAATCAATTTTCTGATTTTTTCCTTGGTTTTCCAATTTAGTGGATTCACCGCCAATTTTTTTCCATGTTTAAACTCACTTTGGATTTATCTTTCAAGGTTTTGGAATCCCTTGCAATGTTCACATTTCCCATGACTACGACTACAAAGTTATTTTGTCTAATTATTGACATCTAGAAAAAATGACTTGGAAACAGAACTGTTTGGCCACCGGTTTCTAGGTTGATGGTTCAACCATCTAGTTCAAACGAATGGCCCATTCTAACAACTAAAATTAAAAAATAAAAAATGGGCAAAAACCGTTGAACGGGTCAATAGGTCAATCGTCCGGGTCAATGGGTTGTTGACTGATTCAACGATTTTTGGCCAAGGATTGAGTTTGGGGTAAAATGGAACTAGTTGCCTGGATGGTTCCCAAGCCGAGCAGTCCTACTATCCGGGTCAAGTAGGAGTTCCCGATATGAAACAAAGGACAACTATGAAGTAGAAATCAAAACTATCACCGTATGATTGCACTCTTTTATATGAGATACTTTGTTAAAACAATACTTAAAAAACAAGCACATAATAATCTATTTTAAGTCTTTATATGAGTTTTAAGACTTGAGTACTTATAATTTCAAGTTTCTTATTAAGATATCATTATCTTTTTTGATGTAGCAAATAGCAATGTTGAAATTCCAATCCTACCCCTACAATGTAGGGATCCTCCGCTAGTTAATAATTAAACAGGGTGCAACCTTGATAGTGCTGTCAATGGACCAAATATTGATTGAACCCAATCTGGTCCAATATGAGTCCATAACAGATGGGACCAGGCCCAATCAATTTGATAAATATTTTGGACTAGACTGGTCCCTTCAATGTCTTATTGGACCATCCAACCTGTTGAAATTGGTTTTAATTCAGATCCAACACAAACCTGGTCCATTGGCACCCCTAATCTATCAGATATTGGTTCAGCCTGACCCAATCCAATATAAATCCATAACATATGCACCAGGTCCAATCCAATCCAAAACTAAGTCTAATCAAATCTAATAAATACTTTGGACCTTTAAGTCTGGACTGGTCTAATTCAATATATTTTACTGGACCATCCAACTTCAAGCCATTCAAACGGATTTTACACCCTTGAACTCAGACGACATTGAGACCAACTTAACTCAATTGCCCAACCTAAATTATTGAACTCCAACATAACCCTCACTAACCCAACCTAACCTATCACTGAAAAAAACGAAGACAAAAAGATTAGGAAAAAAAGAAAAAGACAACTATAGCCTCCATATACCACTATTTCTAGGTTAAAGATCTTACATGCCGATGGGGACCTGGACTTGTCCAATTGTGGAATCATTATATATGCCTGATTTAAACATTTTGTTTTAAGAATCAAGATAAATAGGTTGTTTGCCTACAATTATGAATTAATTAACCCATATTAATTTGCTAAGGTCTCTACCAAAAATCGGTGTATTTTTGATAGCCACTCTCTAATAATACCTAATAAAAATTGGCAATGCTCAAAACCAAGTTATCTAACAATATTTGTAAAAATGAAACAACACTAAAATTCATTTAGAAATAATAAAAAATTTGATACAAATTTATCTAAGATATAAAAAAATTGGTTAGGGGTGCTCATAAGAAATCGAGAAAGAGAGTGAAACCAAAAAATGTGGTTCATCAAATTGATTGGTGTATATATATATATAGAGAGAGAGAGATTTAAAAAAATTGAAAATCCAAGGAATTGAACTGGACAAAAACTGAATTGACCACTCGTTAACAAAGTGATTCTGTTTGGTTTCGGTTCAAAACATGGTTAAGCTAACTGAACTGTAAGCACCCCGAGCTCAATATTGCTAAGCATGCATGTTTATTATCCAAGTCGATCTTGTACTTCGTGTGATATTTTGTCATCTGTAGTCATGAATAATTTATTAGGTGGCATTCGGTAATACTTTGTGGACATTTAAAGTTTGAAAATTTTGCTTTTCAGAGGCAAGGGATGTTTGAGATTACATCTATTTCTAACATCTAAAAAGAGAAAAGA